AATCTTGTGTCAAAAAATTTCTAAAATTCTTATACATCAAATGAGAATTTTATAATTTATTTTATATTTTACTATGCATTACTATTATTTATAATATTATTTGTTATATTTTATTATTAATTTTTAAGATTTATTTTACTACAGTTTCTAAAATAAATCATAAGTCAGTTATTTTACTTGAAGGTTTTACAAGACAACGCTAATCGTTTCTTAAACAGATGACGTACCTAAGTTATTAAAAAAACCTAAAAATATAATTTCTTTATAAAAGCTTAAAAGAACTAACCTCGTTCACAGGTCTGAGCGTCAAGAGCCAATCTCTTTCAGAGACCTTGTTTCCTTCGTTTATGGCGTTTTTACACTCCTATCCTCTAAGGTCAAATGGTGATTGAAGTGCCCCAAACAAAACTTACATTTAACCTAGATACTCCAGTTGAATTTAATTTATTTTACAGTAAAAAATATATCAGTTTTGATTTGTATACAAGAATACCATCATTTCTTTGTCTTAGGCTACTATCCAAGAAAATTTATAAAGGTAAACACATTTTCGTTAAACGAATTTGTAAAGTTTTGAGCGTTCACGTTTACAACTCGATAAAATTACTCAGATTTCAATTTACAAAGACCAGGAAAACGACGGTTGCAACTCCTTTGAGGTTTAATTTACATGTTCTACTCTTAACGGGCATTTTGGGCGGGAAAGTAAAATTAAAACCTTAATTATTCAAATTAATTATTTTATAAATTTCGTAACATTTATGTATGGTTTGAAAGATAGGCCTACATTATACTAAGTTTTAAAATAATCATACCATATGAAATTACAATAATAACACCATACATACTTACTTAAATAAAATATTGCTACTCTATGTGACACATCAATATTTATGGTGTGTGAATAATAAGACGTATAATAAACATTAAAACATATAATTAGACGTAAACTTTACAGTACAAAACAGTTGTAGTGGTAATAGATTTCGATTTATTAATGACCATAACATGTACCTAAGTTTTGTTTACTGATTTTGAAACGAAATGGAAACAGTGTTTTAATTATAAGCTCAATGGTTATAAAACCCCTTTCTCAAAAACAAATACTAAAATTATTCAGTTGAAAAATATTTTTTACTATTAGTTTGTGAATATAAAACATATCTCCATTCAACCATTCTAAATGTGTTTGGCTAATTAAAAAAAAAACTCCTCCACAGGTGATGTGTCACTTCATTTTTGTTTCAGGAACAATTTTTTTGCATGAATTCTGTGTTGAATATGCTGTTTGGTGTTACATTACTAAAACGTATGGGTTACATTACTTTCGTACCCTCACGGAATCTAGTCAATGTTGTTCAAAAGTTTATTGGGGACATTTTCCATCACGATGGTGAAAAAACCTGGGCCTTCTTTTAACTTTTTTCACCTGATAACGAAAAAAAAACCAGAATCTGGAACCAGATTCCAGATCCCGAAAAATCGTGTATCGTTTTTTACCATCGTGATGGAAAATGTCCCCAATAAACTTTTGAACAACATTAACTCACCACCACCAACAATGAATTTCAAACAATGAATAGTCAATGTTATTCTAACTCATATTCAACGCAACTTGTACGTGCTGCAATATCAATGTAATATAACCATTGTAACTAGACTCAATACTTTTTCTTAAATATTAATATTGGAAAATATTAATGAAATAATGGTGCCTTTGTTCAAATTTATAGACACGTTGTGTACTATATTTATGAAATTATGTAGATTCTGAGTTGTTACAATCAAATGTCAACCTAATTGTTCTAATGACATTTAAATTCATTAAAAATCTCCATAAAAATAATGATCAAATTCAACATTTATTTTTTGACACTAAATTAAATTGTTTTCATATTTACAGGACAAAACAGATTTTGTTCAGAGCAGTCGAAATAACTATAAATTAGATTAAATTAAAACATTGACAAACAAGAAGGAGTATTTGAAGGCAAACATTTCTGAACGATTATTGCTTAGTGAGTTACATGATAGTTCTGCTTCCAAGATCAGGTGGTTACTTTAACCAAGATGATTTTATTACTACCTCATAGATAAACTTTCCATTCAATTTTACTATGTATATTACACCACAAGAACTTAACAAGTCATCAATTTGTGTCGTTTTGATAATTTTACAAATGCAACATTTTTTTCTGATTTAGGCTGTCTTGGCCCAATGGTCTAGAACATTGGGCCAAGTTTAGTACAGTCCTGTTAAAAAAAGATACAGATTTTTTCGGAATCAAAAAGGCTACATTCTTATTACAGTAGTAGGTGAGTGCTTTCACTACTTAACTAATTTTCATCTCTAACTCTAACTAAAACTCATTTCAACCATAAATTATCAACTACAAATTATTTAAAACTAAATTACTTTAACATCAACAATGAAAATAGGCAGCTTCATAACTACACAATCATACGTATAAGGTTATGCCGGCAACCTGTTGCTCAAGAAGTATTTCTTGCGGGAAGGTTGGTATTGATTTCCCTCCCAGCTGACCCATTTGCAGGCGCGCGCGGCGGCGACAGCAGTAGCTGTTCTGTAAACCCATATTTCACCCCTCTTGGTGGAGGAAGCGTAAATATTACAGTCCTCCTCGAATTACACCCAGAGGAGATCCCTTTGTGTTTATTGTTTTGTGGATAGTCTATAAATCAACATTTTACGAATGTTGGTGTTCCGAATGTCACTCAACACACATACCTTCTCCGTGACCATCTAATATAAAATGCGAAAGAAATTTACAAAAACATCTTAGAACAAGATTGTTAGGGAGGCAAAAGGGGTTTTCATTTGTATTGCAAAGTGTATGTTACTTTTTAAGACCTTAAGACTTGGTGTAAGACTTGTAGGCGTCCCTAAAATTATGTATTCGTGCTTACAGCTTTAAAAATACTTCAAAAACAAGTTTTCCTTACGTACTGTTTCGTCTATATTCATACATACATGTTCATGTAACATATGACAAAAAAAATTCGTTAACTATGATAACAAATCTAAAAATCTGTTTGATCTAGATCATATCGGATTTAATGCTTCAGCTTTATTTGGCTCTTGCTTTGTGTCTAGCTACAATTCTATAATACATAACTTTTCTGTTGTAAGAGTAAAACATTAAGCGTAACAATATTAGTTTTTAGCCGTTTTTGAAGAATTTTAAGATCTGTGGTTTTTATCTACCTATATAAAAATAAACGACATAATAATCGTTATTCGTACATAAATTTCATAAAATAATAGTTTATTATAAAAATCTTCCCTAAAATCCCACATTTATAGAATCATGTGCCTAAATACGTTGACTCCCCTTTGAAAGAGTAGTTTCGTTCAAAAGATATATGCAAAAAGGTTTAATCATAATTGAGAATTTATTTATGTACTACTTTACATCATATTCCCCTTTTGAACACCAACAGTTCAAGTCTTCATCGGCCCAGACATAGCTTATAATAATAGCCAAGTATTTAACTGTCCTAGATTGCAATACTGTAGGTAGTACGAAACAATCCCCTCAAACATAAACCAAATGCAATGTAAACAGCACAAGAGCAATCGATGTGAACAAGTCCTTAACACCACTGGAATTGTTTGGGAATTGGACGTTAAAGGGATCACATGGCAACAGGAGAGGTGTAATGAAAAGGCCATGTAACAAGCTGGTAATAGCGGATCACTCAAATACCGGAAGTGGTCCCGGAAGTGAATCGATAGGAGGCTGACAAAGTCCCACGGCTCAACAGGTGACGTCATGGTTGCCATGACAACAGACATAGACACGGACGCGAGGTAACTGGCCTTTAGCCTCTCGCATATAGCATTCTGTAACAAGAACAAGTGTACTGAATCTAGCCTTATATCATAGCCTTCTCGAGTATTAGAGGTGGCTGTGTTTATACCCTTTTATACCTCTCTATACAGTACTACCTACAGAACGTCGAGAAACCAATTAGAATGTAAAGAACATTTAAAAGAGGGGGTGATCTTAGACTTGAAAAAAGTATATCATATGTGTTGTAGCATTGAATATTGTTTTATTTTCAGTGGTTGTAGTGAAGGGTTATTTTCATTAAGGTACAAAAAAAACATTCACGTATTTAATTATATATTGACGACTGAGTATAATGATGTCAAACGTGCGTGGGCTTACTGTCATGGATATTCCCCTTAAATTGAATATTTTTTATGGGTGAATATTTTCACCCATTTTAACTGTTAAAAAAACAATTCATTGGGCTCTGGTTTTATGAAGAAAAATAAGTTTTCGGTGAAGTATGTTTTTAAAAGTAAATACTCCTAGCATTATCGGTATAATAGTACGGTATTATTTAATACCGTTCGGTTCATTAGTATTATTTTATACCTTGGGGCGTGTTTTTATCCAAATATTAATAAAGAATTATTATAAAGCAAAGCAAGTCTCATTGTGAATTTTTGTTAAGCCCCGTTCCCATGACGCGTGGCAGGGCGATACCATAGATGTCCTTGATCACAAGGGCTCGTATGAATACGCATCGTGGGAACATCACGTCCGTGGCCCATGTAGCGGTGGTTTATTTATTTCCGGATCGTTCCGGTTTATCCAAGTCGTTAAACTCACGAAACATCAAAGGGCAAAGGGCAGTGGCTTGCGTTTTGGAGGGGGGGGGGGGGGGTGCACTCTAAAATGTTCTCTTTCTTCTAGCCATCAGTGGATCTTGAAATTTACAAACCAACATGCGTAGTGAGAACAGTGTCCACAAAGGCTCGCATATTCATCGACCCGTTCACTAATCAAGGACATCCGTGGTAACTCCTACCACGCGTCGTGGGGAGGCTTAATAATTGGTGACGCAAATTTCTCATGGGAACAGCGTTGAATCTATTTTGACTGCTATGTTCAGTTTTAGATTCAATCAACCCACCAATACTTGTACAATATGTAATTGTTGTTATACTTATTGTTTTGTCGTTGCAGGTATTATTACGTCTACCGGGCGTATGATCGGGGAGCGTCTGAGCGCATCCGGTACAAGACTTGACACCGGCAGCCCAGTGGCCTACGTGTCCGGAGGCAACCGTAGCAGCAACGAGTCGCTCAAGCCCAGCAGGGCGCTCAAGTCCGTGTCTCGACAAAGCCTGCTGGACATAGTCAGCTCCAGGCTCGGCGTCGGCAGGAGCAAACAGCACCAGGTCCAGGTAAGCAATTACAATTATTACAAGTTGTGCTTGTCAATCAAAGTCAAGTCCAGGAGAGCAATCAAAACAATTACAAGCTCTACCAAGCAAGCAGGATCAGGTCTAGATGACCAACTATAAGACCAGCACAATGCAGTAACAGAACAAGGTCCAGGTAAGCAATCAGAATTATTGCAAGCTGTACTACAAGCATCGTCTGGACCAGGTGATACACCAAACAAATACCCAGGTTCACTGAGTAAAAGTGCCAGTTCCACCAAGAATGTAAGGGTCAGGTCCAGACGGCCAACTAGACCTGCAATACAGCAATCGGTAGCAGGTTCATGGACGTTTTTTCAAGGACTTATGAAATTACCTGCTTATGATTCCTTGAAGGATAGCGCCATATTGGTCATATCATATTGGATCATTTTAAACCACTGCCGAAGAGTTATTTACAATCCAAAAATATTTTTTCAAACGCCAAAGTGATGATAATTTAATTATCTAGGACACTTTGGGATTATAAATTGTCTTTGTAGTTTTTTTTTTAATTGGGTTATGAGCTAGAACGTCTAGGTCCCAAGGACTCTTAAAGGAGCAACCAATTAAATTATCAGCTTTGAGAATTCCCATTGATAAAACAGCAACATATCATGTAGCAAGCAATTCAATGTCTACTATGTCTAGGAGAGGGGTGGCATTTATCCCCGACATAACAGAAGATTTAACAGCTATGAACATAATTTTTGGTTTATTTCATATAAAATTCTACTAGTGTAGACTGTGAAAAAAGGAACAGATATGTGACAAAACACTATGGCCAGTTTCAGAAACAATTCTAGTGCCATAACAGACATTTTTAAGAGACATAAGTTCCGACAAGCAGCTGCTAGTGATGAAAAGCCTACCAGCCAGACATAAGAAAGCAAATCCCTTTAGCTTAAAAGTGTTTACGGACAGTAATCGTTTTTTTGATGACCAGATGCTCTTATTTGCTGATAATCTAATCTTGTATTGTAAACATTATATATTTGTCTCTAGGGTGACTTATCAAAGGTCAAGGTGTTGGATGGAAGTAAATATTCGAAGGAAAAATACTAAATGTAGAATTCAAAACTAACAGATATAATACATAACATTTTTTGTTAAGATGACTGTTTGACAATGCAATATTTAGTAAATTATGAAGTAATTAAGTGAATTGTGTTGTTTGTTTTTATATTGACATGCTAGATTCCCATAGCTAGAACGTCAACTTCGGATTGTTTGTTTTTTAGACTAGTTTGTTAGTATAAACTTTATATTCCTGCTACTGTATTTCTCAAAAATATTAATAAACAGGGCATAGAAAAAATATGTCATAGGGGTTTACCTTGTACCAATTAAGTTTTAGTAAATTTTGTACAACTAGAGAACGCACATTAGGGAGGTTATTATGGGTCAAACAGTCATAATCCTATGGGCATAACTGACCTCTTACTGCATTAATTAACCCAGTGGCCTATGTCCTACTAATTATACAGACCCATAATTCATGTGCATATGCCGTTCATATTATCCTCGTAATAAACAGTCCTACAATGTCCTGATTACAGTGAAATTACTTTTTTGAAACGGATATCATGAAGTCTGGTTGCGGAATAATAAAACAAGAAACAATACACAGTTGTAAACTGTTATACATAGTTCTTTGAGATGGAAAATGTAACCACTCATTATACTATCACTTAATTTACATTTGACTATCAAAATATTAATTTCTCTTTCTTGCTGTTTATATAATATATGTTCAGCTGTTTTTGGTTAATTTATATTTTGTAAACACATTTCAACTACATTCTGTTGTTCAACAAAACTAGACCACTATTATCTTTCTTTTTAAAATACACTTTTTACTATTCCATTTACCAACAACCTGCGTTCTGCCAAAATTATATTTAACTATAACGTGCTCCTCCGGGATGGAAGTGCCGGCGGATCCGGCGTCCGGCGGTTTCGCCGGTAAGTGTGTCCCTGGCTGAGGAAAAACTCAATAAAAGTCCTCATGGGGGGCAGCGGTGTTGACAATGGTAATTCTCCTCTAACACTTAATAAAAATGTTGTAGAAATATCTTTCATCGAACACACATTAAGACCCGAATACACTTTTTAGTGCATACTATTTCCTGGGATGATTCTCATCTAACACCCAATTTGGATAAATACTTCTCGCCTCACCTTATGTGATATATTTTTGACGGTTCTCATCCAAAACTAGGAAATATTCAGTAAACCATTCTTAAAATGTATCTGTTACCAAGATACTTCTCCAATTACTTTATGTTCCATAAACCACCTAATACTGAATATTGTTCAGGCATACATCCCTCCCAAGATATATTTCTTTGATGGAATTTAATTTTAAAAACATTCTTTTCTTCTACCACCTAACTATGTTTCAGAGATACTTTTCCTCCTCGCGAGACTCCTTGTCCGCCGCATACATCAACCGAGCAGCAGTCTCGTCGGCCTCAGAGCTCGACCTCAGTCGCAAGGTTCGCCGGCGCGACCTCCGAGGTCGCCTCAAACTCCCTGCCTCCGTGGCACAGACCGAGACCTCCCGGTGGACTGGCGGCCCCAGGAACTCCTCCGGGAACATCAACGGCACGGTGACGTCCACCGAGACCCGTTACAACACCCGGCGCCCACCCAGGGTACGGACCAATCACAAGTGGTCTTTCGTGTTCGACCCCGCTGGTCGTCTCTGCTACTACTGGTCTATGGTCGTGTCTCTCGCCTTCCTCTACAACTTCTGGGTCATCATCTACAGGTTCGCCTTCCAGGAAATTAACAGTAAGTTGTTTTATGTTGTTTTAAGGGATGGAGTGAATCAAAGATTATATAGATATAGATTGTATTTATTAGTTTGATATTAATAGTTAAGTTCCATAACTTATTCAATGGGGGTAGCCATGAAAACATGATGAAAACTAGGGGCCACGAGAGTCTGCAGTTGGCGGCAGCCAATAACAAGACTGGACTAGCTCGACGTCGCAACATCGCCCGTTCACTAATTTTTGACACTAATTAAAATACATATACTAAACAATGTTTTTAAACCAGCTACTATTAGATTTGGCAACACTGCGCGGTCCTCATTGGCTCCTTCGAAGTCACGTGGTAAATAGGCTCCTCTCGTGGACCGTACTGTATTTGATCTACACTTGTCTCAGGGCTAAGCACAGGAAAATACCCAGATAGGCCTATCCTACAAACACGACAAATTTTAACATAGAAATTTGCAAATGATTGGCATGCTGTCCTTTGTTTGATCATTATGTGTATTGTTAAAAGGGATAAATAATCGCATTTAGTTCCACAGTACATGAGATCAATATGTTGTGAATCGTTGACATTTAAGGGTTTTATCAGTAGTTATGTCATAATCATGCAAAAGTTATAATTATAAAGATTAAAGTCGTTACTTTACTGTATGTATGATCCATTATATGTTTTTGAATAAATGTTTTCCAAACCAAAAGAAGTTAATCACGGTGAAAGTATTTTGAAAGAAAATATATCTCATAAACACATGAACTATAGACTCCAGCTTAATTTTAATTACACGAGATATGTGTAGTGCAATTCCATGTTCATCTAAAAGAACATAAAATATTGCTTTCAGAGAAAATTATCCAAGTGTGAAAAAGGTGTTGGACATATCGAGGTGGAAAATTCAAATCGCAATTTTAACACTAACGTGAAAACAGAAATCCCGCAAAGTATTTTCGTGCTTTCTCCACTCTTTCGCTCATCAAAGTTCATAACTTCATTAGTGCTCACAAAGCCCGGCCTCTACAGCTGCGGGGAGAGTGGAGACTCCAAGAGATGTAAGTGGGAGGTTTCAGAGGCTCATCACCTAGTGACGTCATCAGCCTTTGATAATCCTGCTAATCTCCGCGCGCCTTTAGTACTTTTCACCAAAGCTTATGACATCATAGTTGATGTAAATAGATTTACTTTCAATGGCATTTTCTTCACACAGCATAGCCAAATAGTAAAGCCAAGTCTAGTTATGTAGCAGTAGATAAGTAAAAACAGTTAAAAAAAAATTAAATAAACAAATTAAAATAATTTGTATAGATTATAGTCAGCTTCCAGGCGCGCGTTGATGTGCAAATATTTTTACTCTGCTTTGTATTTTTAAGATTTTTATCTTCTATACAGTATCCACCTAACCACTGTCAGATTCAAAGTGATTGGTTGCTGAGTGTCCCATTCAATAGTCGGGCCAACCACTGAACCGCTGGTGATCAGACTCGTCGGATTGATGTTTGTGGCATGATTAAAGTGATATGACCAGCCTTGATATTACTTCACTTCAACGCATACCGTGTTGGCTATCGGTATTAAAATAGAACTTCTTATTGCGATAAACATTCTTCATTAAGCCTGAGACATACTTTGTGTACTGTTCTTCCGTTTTGTGTATGTGGCAATTAAGAAATTAATCAAAGGAAAAAATAACTGCATACTTTCGAAAAATGCAAACTGTAGTATTTTTTTATGATTTATCGAGACTCAGCAGAAGTTCATATTTATTTCCTGTAAAAGATGCACGTTTAGTTTTTTTTTGTAACGAATAAAATATTAACTTACTTTTCTCTTCTAAGTAAAAAAAACATATATATATATATATTATTTTAATCTGAAGCAGGAAAAATGTATGGCTTCTAGGTTGATAATAAAGCCCCTGACATAAAAATGTTGCTTCTTAATTAAAATATATCGGTAGGAACATTAAAGCAATAACAAAGTAATATTAAATATTACTTTGTTATTGCTTTAATGTTCCTACCGATATAAAGTACATACTAAAGTAATTTTATTTTCAAATGTAAACCATTGACAAATAATCAAGTGTAATAGAACAATGAAAGTCAAAACAAACAGATTTCCCGATAATACTATTCCGGAATACGATTCGATATATGTTTGTGAGATTGTAGTTGTGGTTTCCCAATATCATGCCAACCTCGGATTGTCAAGTACATCAGCCACAGTTTGAAACTGCTAGGTAATTGTTCCCATATAATAATTACAATTGTTTAGATATTTATTTTCTATTACAAGATCTTTTTATAATAAACTTTGCAGCTCGTTTAATTTAAACGATGTATTGTAGTTTATTTTCGAAAAATCTTTATATCTTATAACTATTCAAACTGGGCGTAGTTTTTAAATTATAGTAGTATATTCTTACAGGTATAAAACAATATTGGAATTATATATATAATTAATAAACACATTTAGTATTAAATAGAATACTAATCATACAATACGAAATATTATCCACCATTAATGCAACTATATCTCCATTTATTTCACAATTTTGACTACAAATACTATGAGTAATATCTATTCTACCCAAAAACAAATTTGGTTTTTAAATTTCTTTTAATAGTGTAAGAAAATAATGTTTCATCTTAGTAAAATTAAATGATTTTGGCTTGATTTGAGATGAGCAGTTGAAAAATATTTGGGAATATAAGTATATGTATTCTTTTCTACAATATGCCTATAAACAATTCAAAATATCTTAGAGGAAATTATAGTAATCTAATAAAAGCATCGACAACAAATATATCAAGACATTTTTTAAAAGTAGAATATGTGTGAACACTTATTAAGGATACTCAAAGTTTACTTATCTATCCATAAGTTTACGCTTTTTTACTAATTATAGTAATTATAGTATCAGGAAGGTGTTATAAAAAGTACTAAAGGTGACTTAATATTTGGCTATGCTGTGTGAAAAAAGGCCATTGAAAGTAAATCTATTTATATCAACTATGATGTCAGAAGCTTTGGTGAAAAGTACTAAAGGCGCGCGGAGATTAGCAGGATTATCAAAGGCTGATGACGTCACTAGGTGATGAGCCTCTGAAACCTCCCACTTACATCTCTCGGAGTCTCCACTCTATCCACAGCTGTAGAGGCCGGGCTTTGTGAGCACTAATGAAGTTATGAACTTTGATGAGCGAAAGAGGGGAGAAAGTATATGAAAACTAAAAGAGCTTTGCAGTATTTCTGCTTTTACGTTTTGATGGTGTTAAAATTGCGATTGGAATTTTCCATGTCAATTGGGTCGACACGGTTTTCTCCCTTGGATAACTTGCTCTTTACCATCAGGTTTATTTGATTTTATATCATTATAACAAAATAATGGGAAATGTTATGAAACCTAAAAGTATTCTAAATATGATGGGTCATGACTCATATTTGGTGAAAATGTTAACAGGGAACAGTATTGTTTTTTACTTAAGTTCTTTGCTGACTCTTTTTCAGCCTCCTACATTTTCAGCTTGAAAAAAGGCTATGTTCATATATAAAATCAATTTCAATATTTAAAGTTGGTAAAAATATTACATAAATATTATTATACAACAATTGTCAGGATTAAATAAATGATAGTGATTGAATCCTATAACGACAAGTAAATGTTTATACAAAATGTAACAGATTTCTTTACTTTTTATTTCTTGAAATATTTTTCACATTTTAAGTTTAGTTTTAGAAAAAAATAATGTATAATTTTTTTAAGCTTCGTGCGATGAGCTATAACCTGTAGGCTGAATTTAGTTGTAAACACAATGGGTTGCAGAACAATTTAAAAATAATACAATGGTTGACCAAACTCGTGGACATATTTTGGAATCAATTGTTACTGATCTCATATAATTTTTTTAATTATCTAAATGGTTTGAAACGGATCAGGTTAACTATCCAAAGGTGTGATTAGAATTCGCATTATCTTAGGGTAGTCCATTACAACAAAATGAGGCAACCACATGCATATAAATAAATTTGTAATTATGTATTTCATAACCAAACGAGCTATAGAGATGAATATAAATGTCCATAAATAGGTTCTCTTGAAAATGAGGGTGGCCAGAAGTCATCAAACGCTTAAATTGTCACAGAGCGTTGCCGTCATCGTGGTTGGTGTATGACCCCTACTCCGTCCAGAAATTGTAGGGTACTTACTACTGTGTGCCAGGGTTAAACAAAATACCTTGATTCAGCCTAATGCACGGTATGATATTTGTCAAAGAAATTATTTGCAAATTTAAGTCAATTTTAAGAATTTTTTTATGGTAGATTTAATAACGAAAAGACCCCTCTTTAATCTTAACTGGTTTTATTAAAAAATCATATCGAATATAATTAAACAGATTTTGGTAGGATCATTGTAGTCAATGTGAATTGCGTTGGCATGTGTAGGCTGACCTTTTAAATTTACATTTTGCTATCTATTTATTCTTTATGAACGGTATTTGCATTTAATGAGTCCATAATGATACAATGTCGAGCTTCACCCAATATCCTGCTAATGTTTGTGATGAATAAATTTGAATAATTTTCATTGAATCTGCTTTAGTTTATTTTGTGAAATAAACACAAACATTTTAAAAATATTTCTGTATAAACATTGTTAGGGTTTATAGATTATGTAAATAGTTACCGGAATTGAAAATTTACAATGGTAAGCAGTAGAATTGTTTCAATAACATTACAATTCAACAATCAACTAATTACTTTGAAATGTGGTATTCATTTCAACCCTAATGCAAGTTTGATCGTGCCACTTTGGTTAACCGCAAACCATACGCACAACCCTGTTTCTACAGATAAATACCACACTAGGTTTGACTAAAACAAGGTAAAATTTTAATTAACCGATAAATAACAATTAATAAGTGTTAATTAGGTTTCACTAGGTAAAACAAAACAGTGGTTGGTTTATTTATGGATAACAGTAGTAATATATTTAATTTACATTGGGTAGATTTAAAACATTATTTTATCAGAGCATTAAAATAATAGGAAATGCAATATTTGTTAAAAAAAAAACTTTTTAAATTAATAATTTTGGCAGGGGAACTTTTATCAATCATTATAGTTTAATTTGTTTTGCTACCATTTAACTTAATTATGTAGGAACATGGATTTATACTAAAATAGTAAAAGTGCTCTAAACGTAATGGTAGGGCTAAAACATAAACATTTTTTATTGAGTCTTATTTTCCAAATATGACTCGCGATTAAGATTATATGAGTCTTTACAGAAACCTATATAAAGCAACAAAACTTCTAAAGAATACTAAACAGTATTAATATTTTCTTCCACGTTAAAATAGCTCGATAAAACTTGTGCAACTCTTTGACATGTTGTCATCCCAGGCTTGGCACTTCTCCTACCTTAATTTAACGTATTTTTAATAAATTAATTATAGAATCGTTTTAACCATCCTTTAACTTCTAACTAAGGAATGTACAAGTTAAAGAAATTGATATTTCAGGCGATCAGTAATGATTGTCTTAAATAGTTCATTGTCACATGCTAGATTCGCATTTTAAACGAACCCGTAGACCAAGAAAAATAACATATTACTTAATTACAGCATGTAATAGCTCTACAAATAGTATGTTTTCCAAATCAGTGTCTAGTTTATGTTGGAATGAGATAATGTGACTAGCACGCATGGTCAAATTACTTTGATCAGGTACAAACATTAGTCTGATGAAGCTCATGTGGCCAGAATGATTTGCTGGTTGGTCGACCTATCTGATGACTTTAATGAAAGAGCTTTCTGCGACAGGAAAACGTAGGCCTATTATAAACTCTAACACATCGTCGACAACCTCTATATAAAAGAGTGGCCTTTCATTTTATAACTGATTTCCTCGAAAACCCGAAATGTCCAATAAATACGAGAAGTGTTTAAAATCAATGCTATTTTTTCCCCAGCATTTTAGTTTTTGATTGTATAAATAACTAAATAATTGCGACTCATGACTTTTTCTGGGATTTTACTATGGAAAGCTTAGGCCTACTATACAGTGACAAAATACGATCACAGCTACAAACCTAATCATAGTATTAAAGCTCACAATGAAAATCATACTTCATTAAAAAATGTTAATCTTATTAATCATCCTTGAATGGATATGTCAAAATAATTTAAATATTTCCCTGGTTTGAACAATTGAATCCTTGTACTCCCCCATTTGGACTGTATACTATTCTTTTCTCAGTTTTCCTTTAGTATGAACAGTGGGGAGTCTTGCTATTTTTAGCTTACAAAAATATATTCGTAAATTTGTTCTGCTGTCTATTATCTTAAATTATCATTTACAAACCAGGTAATTTAGTAAATTATATTTATAAAATTGTAGTAATCATATTTAATATTTATTCTTAACCACGAACTGTTTAGCAAAAAGAAAACAAAAATAGAATACATTGTATTGAAATTTTTCATTTACTTTACTCCGAAACAATATATAAATAAACCAAATTAAAATATATAGCCCTAAATGAAAGCTCAGAAACTAAAATGCACTATACCCCTGTGTAAATAACCATAATTAAGTAGGGATGGATTATAAAACATGCCTTAAAGTTCTAATCCATCCCTACTTACTTAGGGTTAACAGATGAGTGTACAAATATTCTAATTTCTGATAATTAATTTAAATTTAACAGTTGTAGTCAGAGATATCTAGTTTTGGAATGAGGTATTAATACAAAATACTAATAACTCCCTCACAGCCCATTGGGGTGGTACAGATTGATGAATAAACGATCGGATAATATGAGAGAACATAAATAGAACGTTATCTGTTGAGGATGGTATTATTATCATGATGCACAAACCATCACAGCTTGATGACGTCATTATAAATGATCACGGTCCTTTGATGATCATACTCTGCATTACGCTTTAAAGCCAACCAAATCAGCAATGGAAAATTGTTGATATTTTTATGTAGTAAGCTAGTGTAAACACCAATATCAGATGTGAAAAACAATGTTTATGTGCCAACTTCACATTCTAAGAATTGCTACCATGGAACAGTTTCACAATTTACTTCAGGCTACGTCAGAGAGTTACGGCATTATTTCATAGAACCCATTGGTAGTATATGAACTCGGGACTTCAAGGACTAAAGCCCAGCGCTCTACAACTACTCACTCTTGTACATAAAAAATTGTGGCTGCCACCTAACTCAAAGTTATCCGATTGCAAACGTTGATAATATTTTATGCAAACCTTTCCCTTTTGACGGAACAGCAATACATGTTCACAGAAAGTAAACATTTAATTAGTATCACATGGAGTCATACAGAGAAATATGTGATTAAAAGAATAACAGTAATTGGAATTTAAACGTTGAAATTTGTAACAAATAAGTATTTCTTATACATTCTATGAACATTTATAGGCAAATTGGTTCTATAACTTTCGTGGCTTGTGCTTTTAGACTCAAATTAAATTATTTAGAACTAATAGAAACCGTCAAAGGTCAGACACACATAAAAGTCATTAGGACAGCAAAATTAGGGTAGCACTGATTGTTGCTAGGCCAATCTGAGCTTTATAGCTTTTTAGCCGACGTTTATGTCGCAATTCTTTAGACCTGGTTAATACAAATTTTATTTTTCATCAGGCTCACGTTTAAGTTTTTTTCAATTTTCTTTTATATTTTGTGTTACTGTTTGGAATTTAAATCATCAGAGGTTTTAAGGGCATATTTGTTAACCACGGATTTTCAAGTTGAATCCGCAGTTTTTTATTTATAAATGAGATTAATAGCGTAGGACTCTTATACGAGGAATAAAATTCGCTTAGACAGCAAGAAAAATTATCCCCGCCGAAGCAAACTTGCATACTAGGCGACTTTCCATTAGCCAGTTTGGATTTGAACTAAAGTAATGTCAGACCTTAAAAACCTCAACCTTAAAATGTCAGATCTATTCCTTGTTTTTAACTGGAACTAGGTGTGTTTAGTAATTAGTTTTTCTGCTACAGAGAGGATAAAAAAAGTTGTTTTAGTATAATGTCAATAGCTTATAGTATAGAATGAAAAGAAAATTCAAATTTGATCAAAATATATGTAAAAGAGCAAACTACATCAGTTTTAATAGCCGAAAGTATTAAATTTGAAATTTACATTCCAAAATTTTACATATATGAGTATTTCACTACCACTAAACAAACTCTTTTGCCTTACAGGAGACTCGATTCTCGTCTGGTTCTGCCTCGACTACCTCGCAGACCTCCTCTACCTCGTCGACATCATGTTCCACTTCCGCACGGGTTACCTAGAGGACGGAGTGCTACAAACAGACTCGACTAAGCTGAGACATCACTACATGAACTCCACCACCTTCTACATCGACTGTCTCTGTCTGCTTCCGTTGGACTTCCTCTATCTCTCCATAGGCTTCAACAGCATCCTCCGCTCCTTCCGGCTCGTCAAGATCTACAGGTTCTGGGCCTTCATGGATAGGACCGAGAGACACACGAACTACCCTAACCTCTTCAGATCGACCAGCTTGATCCACTACCTCCTCGTGATCTTCCACTGGAACGGATGTCTGTTCCACATCGTCTGCAAGAACAATGGGTTCGGCAGCAAGAACTGGGTGTTTATGGACAGTGAGAGTGCTGATGTTGTGAAACAGTACCTCCAGAGCTACTATTGGTGTACTCTCGCCTTGACCACCATCGGGGACCTGCCGCGGCCTCGCAGCAAGGGAGAGTACCTGTTCGTCATCCTCCAACTGCTCTTCGGACTCCTGCTGTTCGCGACGGTCCTGGGTCACGTGGCGAACATTGTCACTAGTGTCAGTGCGGCGAGGAAGGAGTTTCAAGGTAAGATTTTGTAGAATGTATATAGTAAAACATATTTCACAAACCGTCATTTTCTTTTCATAAATGTATTCAAAGAAAACCCAGAGTACAGTAATGAGAATTGTCAAATAATTTCTCAAATAGCACGATAATATTAACCTATTTTTGCAGTACAATATATTTAATCGCATTTCTTACATTTCATGTTCCAAATTTGATAATTTAATATAATTAAAAGGAGTTGAACATCAATCTGAAACATTAAAATTACCTAAAATCAATGATACATTCATATTCGTTAGTAGTCAATAGGATACCGTCCAATGTAACCTGACCTGACAAACTAGTGAATGAGACAATCATTTTTAACAAATTTCCGTAATAGCGACCATAATATGATAAATGGCATATTTATAATCATGGATCCAGCTAAAACTGACATACTGTTAATCGTTTGAATAAAAATAGTTATTGGAACAAATATTTATTAGGGAGAAAATATTATTTGACAATTAAATACTAATACCCATGTTTGAGATAGTGTAATTAAAATAAAGGACATAAGACAGTGTTGTAAATTTTAAATGTCGTAAGAGGTATTTAAATCGCCGCTAACGTTAACGAAACAGGATACTAAAACTACGCCACAAATCACCAGGCAGCGGAGAGGGTAAATTGCAGAGCTCTAATTACAAAAGCCGCCAACAGAATACGCTTCCAACACTTCTTAATTATGTTTTATTAGCATTTTGTTGCGTTAAATAGGGTTGTAATTTACCAACTTTAATAAAACTTGTGGAGAATTAAAACGCTTATCTGGCATTATAAACTAACGATTGTTCATATTTTTTTTTTTTAAGTTTTCTCGTAATCTTAATTTTAGTTTTGATTGTTGGTCTATTAATAATTGAGAAGTCATTAGTAATATTATATTGTAAAGATTTATTTAGGGATGCCGTGCCTACTTATAAATATGAATAAATAAAACCAATAATATACTGAACTTAATATAGTTTGAGAAGTCTGCATAGGTCTAAATCAACAATTCCGTTTATCAAATTATAAACGGAATTGTTGCAATATTTTTTCCTCATCTACATATATCTGTCATGGCACAATAATATCGTGTTTGATAGTGTTCAGCTGGTTAGTTTTAAGCTTTTTTGTTTTTACGTTTGCTCAATGAAACATGTAAAACTTGAAGTCTGAACAGATTATAAAATGAACTATGACTCGAATAGTAATAGCAAAAAAAATTTCTTTGTAGTTAGATCACTTAAAGCTAGGCCAATATATTGTTTTCAATCCCCCGGAAGGTTTTTTTTTAAATTATTAGTTCAAAAATAAATGTTAAGTTTGCATTCAATACGTTGTGAAACAAACAATCTTCAAATAATAAAAATTCCTAGAAAAATATAACGTCCAAAAATCAATCCTTTTGTTGTATTAATAAAGATGGGGTTTTATTTATAATGTTTAATTTATAAAGAAGGCTTTTTTCTCAAGGAACTGTTGAAGAAAAAGTTTATGTTTTTAAGATAATGAGGAAGGGGGTGTTGTGAGAGGCAGAATGTAATAAATAACAGATGATTGTGATAAACTGCTCCGGCTTCTCATTGTTTAATTATTCCACGTTAATTACCTATTTGGAGGTTCCGTTCCCTGATGTGCTTTTACTTTCACTCTTAACCAAGTTACCGTCCATAAACATGGTTACACACCCTTCAGGGTACACTAACTTGGATTAAGACTCTGTTTTCGTGAGCCTAATTCCGGTTTTATTGAGTTAAGGAGTAGTTTGGCGCTTTTCGAATTAAATGAGGAATATCGCTTCGTTTAGAGTTTCGAAGTGAAATCAAATGACTTTTGGTTTGACATATAAACAGTGTTTAACTGTTATAGTTTGTAAAATACCGCTAACTATCAATACCAAATATATTTTTCAATTACTATACATACAGTACTTTTGAATAGGTTTAACTCTATATGAAACCGCTTATATTTTAAATTTTCGTAGGCATAAGTAACATTGTACTACGTACATACATTTCAGAGATTTTTATGGGCATATTTACTGTGCATCTTCGTCATAACTACACAATTTGATGAGTTGTATATTATCCAGTTTTTTTATTAACAAATTAAATCCGATTGTTTTAAATCTTAATAAGTTAATTTCAATAACTAGTGTGGATACTAAATGTGTGAATACAAAATTAAAAGATTGGATTAAGTATAAAATCTATTTCTATCTACAAAGACTAAGCTTGGATTGAAAATTATAGGAAAAGATCGGTTCATTTGTAAATATTTTTATAATTATTGTTTAAGAGAAATAAAATTTCAAGGTTTGAATGGTTCCCATAAAACGTGTAAAAATGGTGAATATCAACAAAAATAAACTAAATTACACAAAATCTTCGTACAAAACAAGAAACCAATAAAAATACATAACAGTACGCAATGTAATGTAACTTGTCAAAAACTTCGCTATCCCTCTTCGCTGTCCAGTATAAGATATGTATTTGGATATATCAAACAACAAACGTTAAATCTGGGACAACGATCCACGACTGTTGTGTAATTATACGAAGCTATAAACTGCAGATGCGATAAAGCACAGATTGGCTTGAAAACAAATAGCGTTACTGGAAATGCCGACCTAATGGTGTCTGCTCATTTTCATCCGGCTGAGCTAAAAAGTAACATTAAAATTATTTTAACCTATTCCGTTAATTCACTACCACCTATTAGATTAGTTTAGGTTAGAGCCATGTTAACGGAAACATAGTCCTAACCTAACCCAATATACTAATTAGTGGTATTAAATTAACGGAAAGGTCCATATTATTTTCTTAATTTAATGGATGGTTCCCCAAATTAGCTTGAAATGTATTAACGTTATGTATTTATTCGAAAGTGACGTTTGTGTCCCTAATAATTTCTGATATATTATTGGATTAGTTTTTAAGATCAAATTTATGTTTATGTTTTATTTATGTTTAGCCCAACTCATGGTTCAATTATAATAATCATGGTAGCAGTTGTAAACTACAAGGCTTTTTAAATTGATGAGGCAATTTTTATTTTATTTAGATTTGACTTTTCAACAATTATAATTTTTTTAACAATGATAAGAAAAACTTTAAGCCAAAAAGGTGTGGAATAAAATGTAAATATTTGTAATAGGTCTAACATATGTTATTATATTTATATTTCAGTTTTTTATTCTATTCTGTATTTCTTTGTTACACTGGCCACATTTTTTTCTATTCATTGACCATTATTATACATTTGATCCAGAGTTTACATTTTTTGTAACAAGTGATTCAAGTGTGTCAATTCAAGTTTTAGGGGTTTAAATTAACACGCGGTTAGGTTTAGTGAAATTGTGGGCCTATTTTTCCTAGCAACACCAATCGTGATTTTTTTCTTCGGTAGACCAAAAGTAATAAATGTAAACATTGAATTTTATTGCATTATTTATATTCATAAAGTTGTCTTTACTGCCTCTAAAATACATACTTCATTTCAGTGTATAAAATCAAAAGAGCGGCGCATTGCAGTAAAAGGCGAGACTGAATGGTTGTACTCTGCCTAGCCTCAATATAGGCTTGGTCTGCCTCTATACAACACCAGTTATTAACTGGCTCGTTTATTTTCAACGTGAAAGGATTTTAAAAAACCTCTCAAGAACGAGCAAATGGCAATACACTTTTTGATGGAATATTTTAAATATTCAAACAGAATCAAGGACAGTTGGAGAGGTTAATAGCTTAATAAGTTGAAATTTCATTTTTTGGTATTTCGCACAAGATACTTGCATTTTTTATAACTATTTTATCAGCTGGCATACAGCAATCCAATCTAGTAGGAAAATAAACTATAGTCTACATTAATACTTAATCCGCCCTAACTAAAAAATACCAGTACGTTATGAACAATAGCCTAATTAAGGGAAGTATCAAGATTTTTCTTACACGAGAAAAAATTTTAATGAACTGTTAATCAACACAATTTCCTAACATGTTAAGATAAGTAAGTTGATAGTTCATTTAAAACCATTCTATCGTATCGATATTATATCACGCAGTAAGCGTCAAATGTTTATCATAATATCAACTTGTTGTCAAGGAAATAAGAATCTTCTTTAAAGACATTTTGATATTTCAGGTTTACTAAAGCCTATCAGTAAAAAGAATGATAACTGGGAACCTTGATTAAACTACGACTCACAATCATTATAAAAGGTCATGTTGCAGAATTTTTCTTTGAAAAATATTTTCCGAATCACAATATTACAAAACTCCATAAATCATCATGATCAATGAGTAGAGAAAAGTATTGAACAAAAATCGAAGCTTGGCCACCACGTGTTGAATAAAAGGTAATTTGCACTAACGTGAATAATCTGAATCAAACCGAATAAATCTAAGCTTAAATGAATATGATATTCACAATAAACTGGAACATACCAAAACGTTAATTGCAATGTTAGCAATTACAATTTAGCCAATTACAATTTACTGTTTGCAGCCACCGCTCGTTAAGAGTGATTAAGTTTGGTTGGTACTAAATTAATTTTATTAACTCGAACGTTCTCGTTTGTTTATTTAGGCCTTCGGTTTGCTAGGGAGTGCATAGAACATAAATCACACTTTTTACAACATTATACCAAACTAAAATTTACATTTGACAAAGGACATTTTGATATTTATTTCAATAGTTTTAACGGTTTGATTAATAATCATACGGTCTTAACTTTGGTGGATTTCATTCGTTAACAACTACTTATTCTGAAGCACCGTATTTTATATTCTAGATATCAAAATCTAAACCAAACTCAAAATATAACCATATTTTAAATATTTTCATATTTTAATTCATTTTAATAATTAGTTAATAACATAAGAGTATATATGATAATGCGGGGTAAAAAATTCTTACTGCAAACGCAAAGTCGAGTGGCCTAACTGCGTGCAACCTTTTTGACTTGGTTGAAAACAGGATTGTTCATAATC